CCTCTCTGCCCAACTCTCCAGCCTGTCCAGGTCCCTCTGGATGGCAGCGCAGCCCTCCGGAGTGTCGGCCACTCCACCCAGCTTGGTGTCATCCGTAAACTTGCTCAGGGTGCATTCCGTGCCCTCGTCCAGGTTATTGATAAACAAGTTGAACAGCACTGGGCCCAGCACTGACCCCTGGGGACAGCACTGGCCACAGGCCTCCAACTGGACTCAAAGGACATCAAGGACTTTCAAAGGACATCAAGTTTGCAGTACAGAAGGACTGCACATACACACAGGCAATCTTACCAAGAAAAAAATCTGAGTTGTGCAATCCCCTCAAAGGACATTTTCATCTGAAAGGAACAACTGCAAGAAACCAAAAACCACCCTGAACTGGAACTTTCCCCAATTCCCAAGAAAGAGCTTCTCAGGACCTTTTGCTGCAGAAGCCTAAGGAAACTATCTCCTAGGTTCTCAAACTAAACTCCCGCTTGCTATTTTGTACGGGCAGCAATGATTATTCTTGATTTTTCTGCCCTCTAGCTGTGCAATCTCACACTCACCACAGGAACACAGCACAATGTTAATGCGATGGGTAGCATCAAACACGAAGTTATAATAAACATTTAAGCACGTGCCTAGATCTGTCCTTTTTTTAGGAGAGTTCTGTAAAGACACACTTCAGTCTTGCAAATTCAGCGGCATTTCAGCACATACATTTATGCTTTCCATAACCAGGGTTATGTGCAACTTTCAAATCCCAAAGACCATAAGGTGTTTATGMAAACCCCTTGCATTGTATGTGTCTGAAGGCTTGTGCATCAGCCCACAAAACAACTCCCATCTCCACAACAGAGATTCTCCTGTTCTGCAACAGGCTTTGTGCCTCAGTTTACCTATGAATTAAATGAAGAAAAATTCGCATGTCTTCCCATGGGTAATCTGCACATTAACTAGGCCTAAACAGACACTCAGAAACCTTACTTGCAGAAAAATACCATAACTGAATAGATTCATATGCAATATTAAGGCTACAACCAGCTGCTGAATGTCTCCTCACTGAAAGCAGGACATTAAAGGACTTTAAATGCTGCAGGCCTGGAGGTGCATTTAGAAGGAAAAAGGCACCGATCTGAAGAGAACACCCTCCTCGGAGGCTCCCCAGCATGGGAAGGGAGGTGATCCCGCAGAGGGCAGGTCGATCCCGCAGAGGGCAGGTGGGAGCTTCCCAGGGATTCCCTGCTGCTCCCTCCGGAGGCCTCCCGGCGCGCTGGGCGACACTGCCAGGGCAGGGAGCCGCCGCTGCTCCTCTCCTGGCCAGACGCAGCTCTGCTCAGGCAGGGGCAGCTGCCACAGAAGGGAGCAGCCAAACTGCTCAATAAGGCTGCACTGCAGAAATCCACTTCTTAAACTTATGCCTTTAAAAGTAGCTTGGCATTCCTGCTACCCAAACTGGGATATTCTAAACAAGCCCAGTTGCGAATGCTGCTGTGGATTTCTCAGCAATGATCCCCTTTATGGAAGGCTCAAAATTAGTTAAGTCACTTTTTGAAAGAGTGCCACCAAGCAGAGCATGCCCCAAGAACGTGGTAATCAAATTCCTCCAGAAAGACACTAGTGATAAACCCCCAGTCTGGTCCAAACTGGGATGACTTCGCTGCATAAGCAGCTCATTGCAATTGTTCTTAGGGAAGCGGGAGGCAGAAAAAGCTAGAATTATAAGAAATTGCATTTACATTAGTAAAGAGCTGTAATAGCAATCTTCTCTCTCCCTCCCCATATACAGCTGGCAATTTGAGATACAATGACAGATACTCACTATGGTAGAACATAATGATTAAATGCAATACAAGCAAGGGTCATAGCAATAAATAAATGAGCAGCGCTTTATTTATTTATTTATTTTTAAAAATGCAAGAGCAAACTTCAACACACAGATACTCGGACCCCTCCTGTCTCGCTCTCAAGGGGGCAGCTGAAGCCCCTCAGCCTCCGTTCCCTTCCCRCCAGGCTCCGGAAGGGCAGTGCCCGGCACAGGCAGAGATACCCCTCGCACGCTGCTCTCCCGCAGCACGAAACAGAGCCCACAGCCCCACTGTCCCCAGGCCCCGCCTTGGCCGCACCGCCAGGGGCCCCCCGGCAGCACCCCACGGCAGGAGGGGCAGGCTCAGAGCCCCGTTCCCAGGGCCGTCCTGCCACTCCACAAGGCAGCCCGAAACCCCAAGGCATCTCCCATCACAAACCSTCCCACCCTTCTCCACTCCCACTTTCCTTAAGCAAATAAATAAAGCAGAGCAGAAACGGGCTCTGTCCCAGAGCGGGCACCGCCTGGCCCTGTCACCCCCTGGCATCCTGCCCCACTGCTGCACCCGAGCAATACTGGGCGAATGGATGGGCAGGCACAAGCCATCTCCTTCCGAGCGTGCACTATGGGACAACACTGTTTCGAGAACAGCTCGTTCATGGGGATGTCTTTATAAAGCTCTTTTGCTTGTTTTGTTTTCTAAGAGTRGTTCTATCATTCCTTACACAAAAAAGGAAACCTCCTGCAAAAGGGAAAAAAAAAAAAAGAAAGAAAGAAATATCCAGAGATGCCAGTCTTTCCTCTGCAGCATGGATAGCGTGAGCAGCAGTAGGCAGAAAGCAATCTGCAGACCTACCAGCCTCACGAGCAGTGATAACAGGACTCCTTGGCAGTTGTTATAAATAACCAGAATAATGAAAGCAATAAGCGGGGAGCAGGCTAGGTCTTTACCTACAAGGAGAGCTTGCACGAAGCCTTAGGAAGGGCCTGCCTGGCTCCCCTGCTTGGCCGTGAGGCCCAGGGCTCACGTAAGCGAGGCCGGTGCYGAGGGGCTGGTGCTCACTTTCCTGCCCTAAAGCCCTGCAGCGCAGTGCAAGCAAGTTCTTCTCTAGGTGGGACCAGAAACGAAGCAGGACGGGGTYAGAGCAGCTGCACGGATGTTAGAGAGTTCTGCAGGCCTGGGAAAGAATACCTGAAAACCCCTGATAAGTAACCCTGGAGAGAAGGATAAAACTAAGCTTACCTTTAAAGTTGCCAATGAACAGGCCAGGCAGAATCTGTGAGAAAGAAATATAGTATCAAATATAGATATCTTGTGGTAACACAATTTGACAAAGTTCAATTTGCATACAGGATGGAGCATACTACTTTAGCAGCAGACTACTGCCAAACGCCATCTAAAAAGTGCTGACAACATTTCATGCATCTTTGCAGCCTCCTCGACCTGCATCACTCTGGGCACGCTGCACTTGCGGGGCTCTCTTTGAGCTGCTAACCATGTCTGACTCTCGTGTAAAGGTCCCTCTCGAAAGCGTTTTGCAAGTTCAAAGTGAGCCTTGCAACCTGCCCTGCCCCCCTGCTGTATGGTAAGAGTTACCCTCGTTCGACCAGCGGGGAAACTTCAAACAGCAAAGGCGGGTGATTTGCCTAAAGCCGCCGAGGAAGCTGGACAGAGCCCTGCAAGACACGAGATGCAGCGAGCGCCCGGGGCGCGAGGCCGTGCAAGCCGGGGCCGCGGCTCCGAGGTGCTCCTGCGCCGAGGAAATCGCTGCCAGCAGCTGCCTGTGCAGTCACACGGGGTGAGAAGGATCAAAGCCCGTGAGCCGTGTTTCCCTGCTCTCCTCAAAGCCAGCACGGCGCTCAGTTATGTGACTTCCTTCAGCTCGGGGTGCCAAGGTCGGCCCGAGGCGCAGCCCTGGGCGGCCCGAGGACACGAGCGCAGGCAAACACTGCTGCTACCCCTCCCAGGCGGGCATATCCCTCCCAGCACCCAGGACACATTCAGAAAGAAAGAAAAAAAGAAAAAAAAACCCACTTTTTGGAAAAAATGCTGCTCTCTGCCACCTGGAGACGCCTGGCCCGCCCGCACGTCCTCTGCGGGGCTGCAGCAGCGGGATCGGCCTGCGGGCAGCGCGCGCAGAGCAAACACTGCCGGCCAGGCCCTGGGCAACACCCGTCACCACCACCGCAGCAACAGCCCCTCCGCAGCTCCTTGAGGGGAGATCTCCACCCGTGTCGCTCGCTCCAGCGGCCCGGGAATTCCCAAAGTCACCGAGGACATTTCAGCGGGGATTATGCGGCCTCGCGCCACCCTGCTGCTGAAAGGCAGCCTGGCTCGCGCCAGCGCGGCCGGCAACCAGCAGAAGGGCCTGCAAAGGCGCTTGACACCCGCCGAATGCTGCAGATTGCACCTCACAGTAACAGGGCGCTCACTATCCCCTTACCCAGCCTTAGGGAAAACAGGGAAGCTCCAGCAACTCGCACAGCCCCRGTAGCTTCGGGATGTGCCAGCCCTCCTCCTCCTCGGCTTTGCTACAGGATCTATCCCACGTGCCRTGTTGCATCGGCTCTGGCCACAGGGCTCAGTTCTGCAAACGTTAGGAGAAGRCGACCTCTCTGCGGCTCCTGATATGCCCTGGGCTTATTACAAAGCCAGAGAGTATTCAGGCATTTTTCTTGGTTTTACCAGCTCAGTCTTGGGGGGAAATTCAGAAAACCCATATAATTAAGGGCTGGAAGACAACATAAACTACAGAAAAAAAGAAAAAAGAAAAAAGAAAAAAGCTTCTTTAATTCTGTACAAACAGGAGTCAGTAAGTTTTGTGCAGATATGACCATACACCTTCCCCATTTTTCTTTGCTCATTTTTCATCTGTAAAAATTCAGCGATCCTACAAAAGTATGGGGAGAAAAAAAAGAGCAGGAAAATTTCCAAATKACAGGGCACGGAACAGGGAAGAGCCTCCTGGCACCTTCCTTTGCACAGGGACAAGGGCACAGCCTTGCGGGCCGCGTTATCAGCTCTGCCCCCAAGGCCAGGAGCTGCTCTGCAGAGCACAGACCCCACGAGCCACTGCKAAGGGCCAGCAGCTCCGGACAACATGCATCTTCATCAACAAATATCTTCACCACCAAGCTCACAGTCAACCAGGCCCCTCAAGTTTTAAAGATTAAAACAAAACAAAAAGAAAAATCCTTTCTGATACTGTTAAATAGCAGCCTGGTATTTCCTATCGGTAGCAGGAATYTCAACTCAACAGCCTACTGCAGGCTACAGCATTTTAGACTCCAAGACATTATTTCCACACCAAGTATAGGCTCCCAAGAGAGAAGAAAGCTTAAATTCCAGTCACAGTCATTAAGGTTAGGCATTATAAATTAAAGAGATGCCAAGGCGCACTAGGGGAAGAAAGGGCTTTAAAAGGGAGGATTTTTCAACTGTTGTTGAAGGAAAAATCCAGAAGTTCRTGCATTACGAAGCCACACTGCATGCTAGATAGAAAATGAGGACACCACGCAACCACGGACAGCTGTCACCCCTGTTGTCCTAGTCATTCTAGAAGCAAGAAACATTACTATGGGTGAAAGCTACCTGGAAAGAAGTGAATCTTCATACAGTGCTGACTAATACTTCAGATCTAGACTATGGCTGGGAACTTTCAGCTGTGTCATCTCACACTGCCATCAGTAACTGCAACTCGAAGCTACAGAAAAAAAAAATAGAAATGAAGGCTGATGGCTACCAGGGGCGTGTGAGAGAGAAGGGGTGGGAGGCAGAAGAGAAAAAATAAGGTGGTTGTTTTTGTGAACTTTTCAACTACTGCTTTATGAATAAAAACAGGAGCCTCCTTATATCACCCGAAACATTGAGAAAATGACCACGRGCTAAATAACAGATGCATGAGACTGCGCAGCCGAGCAACAAGGACAGCAACGCCTGTCTTGGTTCTCGTCTCTTCCGTGAGAGCGGCAGAGCTACCGCTCCTCGGCACTCTGCTTGGGAGACGGGCTCCCCTTCCAAGTGGTTCAACGGCTACTTTTGTCACCGTCTTCTACATACACGTGGCATAAAGCAGCAAACTCCTTGACTGGTGTTACCTGCAGTGGCATCAACTGGAGCCGTGGACAAGTTCATCGCAGCTACCTGGGTTTTGTGTGGGGAAGGCAAGACCTTGCTGGAGGGGATCAGGGGCAGGTGAGGCCCCTTTAGCCACTGGCTCTGGAGGTTCCCACACATTGGTGGGATGGACGCGCCGCTCCACGGAACTACTCACATCGGCGCTAACTATCCACGCTGATTGACATCTCCTATGAACCAGCCTCTTATCTGCCATTTTTGTAGCGATAACACTCAACTCACCCCTTCAAAAAGGGTCTGTGTGAATAATGGGCATTTAACTGTACCAGGACATGCAAGGACCAAATCCCAGGGAAAACGCTTCTCTAAGCATATCTTGCTCACAGATAAGCAAATTAAGTACCACAATCTCTAGCATCATCTCAGCTTCTAGCCCTCAGCTCCAGAAAAACAGGCGCCAACTTGAACTCTGAATGCAAGTTAGACATTAAATATGAAGACAAAGCAGGCCATCAGAACAATTTCCAAACACTCATAGCTTATTATTCATTCTGTAAAGATTTAAGAAAGGTAAAAATGTAAAGCACTGAAAATTAGCTGTAGTTCAGCAGTAAGTTTGAAGTCAAAGCATCTTCACTAGCCCAGTTCCCTTTTCTGAGTAGAATGAGGACAGTATTATGAACTTCAATTTAATTTGGGAAAAAAAAAAATCAAGAGGTCTAGATGGGCTTTAGGAAAAAAAACCTAAACCAACTAAACAAACAAACAACAACAAAACATAAAACAAAGCTAATTTTACAAATAAGAAAATTAAGAATGAAATGCTCCCCCCCAGAGCATGCCAGGCCTCCAGGCCTCCCATTAGCCCTAAACAGCCACATAAAAAGTCAGGTGCATTTACTGCTTGCTAGGAAATGCATGCACATCATGTTGCAGAGGAGCAGGGGGGACCGTGGCACTGAGAAAGGCTCCACATACAAGAGCAACAGCAGCAGCTGTAGCAATCTCCGGAGCTCTTCCTTCCCATACGCATTATAGGTCACGACTGATCCTCCTCCCCTGGCTCTAGCACAAAGAGATTCTCTTAAGTGAAATAATCCACCACTGGTTAAGCTGTTTATTTTCTTCTATAATCTGCGTATAGTTCTACAAGGAAAAAAAAAGAAAAAGCACCACATTTGGTAACTAAGGTAATTTGTATTGATAAGACTACATGGAGTCAAGGAACTACCTCCAAACAGTGCTGMTCACAATGTCGCGTCTCTCTGTGCCCCTCTGGTTATTGTGACTCCCAGGATCAAAAGGAGCAGATGATCCAGGGGCACCTTCTAGAGGGGGCAAGTATGGGACCTGCACTCGGGACTCCTAGAGARAACAAGCCCTGGTGGCCAGGACCCATGTGGTCAGAGCCTGCTTAGAGGAACCAGCTCTTCCAGAACTGCAGAACATTTCACAGCCTTGATAAAAGCTCGCAGTAATTGACCAAACTTATCAGTCACAGATCACCAATTTCTGCTTAAGTGGCATGACACCAAGATGTGCTGCTGCAGAAATAGAGCACTAGGCTTCAAAGACCTGGGAACTCTGATGGCAACTTTAGCATTCCCTGTCAGGGCATATGAAGAGGGACAGGAGGAGTTTTAACTTTCCCAAGCGAGGAAAACTATAAAATCTGAAAGAAGCCTCTCCAGTTGTTTCTTCCTTATCAGCCACTCCTGGAAGAAGCACCTCCAAGGAGTGCCTACATGACACTGCCCTGTCTTTTAGAGAAACGATGGAAAGCGGGACCMAGGGAAGTTCTACTCCTACCCACTAACATGAACTCAAGCTCAATGAACCAAGCAGGTCTTTCCTCCACCTAAGGTTTCTAGGCCAATGGATCTATCCATTGGATGAAGAGGCTTCTTGGAGAGCTCACTGCGTCCTGGGGATGTTCACGCTGTAGCAGGCGGCGAGGCTGCTCCGCGGGCCGAGCTGGCGAGCAGGCAGCTCCGGCTCCTCTGCTCCTCGCAGGCAGCTCCGGCTCCTCTGCTCCTCGCAGGACGCTGCCCCCAAAGCGCCCACAGCGAGATGCTCACAGGGAGGACATGACTCAACCCCTGCCCCTCACGGGCAGCTATATAAAAGGCCGGCCAGCAGCATGCTCTCAAAGCCGGGGTTAAAACAGCAGGGGATAAACCCGCTTTCCCTTGATGCGCAGCACGACGTGCCAGGGCGGGGAGCGAGGAGACTCGGGGCAGCCCCACCTTCCTCCCCCAGCGCTATCTCCGGGCCGCACACTTCCCTCTCTCCGCAGGGAAGGGGGCTGCGCGCCCGGCACCRACCCCAGGGCCGCTGCCCGCGCGGGGCTCCCGCGGGAGAGCCTAACGGGAGCGGGAGCCCGCGGCGGGCGGGCGAGCGCGCCGGCCGGGCCCCAACGGCCGCCATTAACGCCCGCCGGGCGGCCGTTGGGGCCGCCGCCGCCCGGGGAAGCCCGCGCGAGGGCAGCGCCCGGCACCGGCGGGGACACCAGGAAGGAAGGAAGGAAGGAGGGAGGGAGGGAGGGAGCGGAGCGCCCCAGGGAGACGCGCACCCTGCTCGCCTTCCCTTC